CCAGAATGAGTTGATTTCCTTTCTGTGCCTGATTAATGTCTGCCAAGCCTCTAAGACTCAGCTTGTATATTTGTCATGAAACCATCTCAGTCTCCCAGAAACAATGTTATGCATTTCCTTCCCTGTGATCTCACAGCACTTCTGCATAGCTATACTTGAGGACTCTCCCAGCTATTGGGCATAGTTCTTGCACTTCTCATTAGCATGTGAGTTTTTTAAAACAATAACCTTGTCTTGTTTGGTTCATATCCCTAGTGTACCAGGGATACACTGTACAGTACCATGCAGGATATTATAGGTATTCGATGAGTTAATTTAGATATTTTCAGCAAGGACATCTATTTTAATCAAATAGAGTTCATATTTTTTTGAAAGATTTTTTTTTTCAATTCAGAAAAGCTTTCAGGTATTCACATACATCCATGCCTACACACAAAGTAATAAATAATATATTTATAAATTCAACACTGAATCTAATAATTTCCCAAGACAGCACCAATGTCAAAGTGAATGTAATAAAGAACTTAAAAATGAGATATGACAGACTCAGACTTAAATGTTAAACCTGACATTGTTCTTTGATATGTTAACTAAATCCAAGGTATCATGAGTTTAAGGAAGACAAAAAACATAGCACTGGACTCTTTGTCAAAGACATGAAGGTTCTGCTGAGGGTATTGGCTTATACTTCCCTAAAATCTGTTTTCTCTGGCCTAGATTTATGATCCCAACAACAAACGGTATGAAGTCCCAGTCCCTCTGAACATCCCCGATGTTCCATCCAGCACTTCTGAGAGTCAACTCTATGATGTGCTCATTAAGAAGAATCCATTTGGGATTGAAATTCGCCGGAAGAGTACAGGCGCTGTAATGTAAGTGCCTTCTAATCTGACTCAGAACTGATGGTTACCTGTACATTCACTGGCAAGTCCGTTGTCCTTGGAGTCATCCTGGCTCAGAGCATCACACTGTACATTTACAGGTCCATGAATAACTTATTTCTTTCAGGTCTGTTCTTATCAGAAATCTTTAGCATCAGAGAATAATTACTGAGGCAGTTGCATGTACTTGGGGATTCATACAACAAATGGTTATGGGGTGCCTTCTCTATATTAGGTGCCGTTCTAGGCACTATGGTTGTAGACAGATGTCTCTCTTCTCATGATAAAAAAATAAGTAAATAACAAAGGTAATGGAAGTTGAGATAGTGATAACTGCTATGTAAGAAAAAGAGCAGAGTAATTGAAAGTTATGGGGAGGTTACTGCTTTTGATACTGTGGTCAGAGAAGGTCTTTCTGAGAAGATGACATTTAAAATTGGACCTGGATGAGGAAAAGGAACCACCCATGTGGAGATCTGGGGGAAGGGGGAGGCATTGCAGACAGGGGGACTACTAAGTGCATAGGCCGTGAGACAGGAGCGAAGTTGGCATTTAGGGAGCAGATATATTCCAACATAGCTGGAGCGATGTAGTAAATAAGGAGGGAATGGTGGGAGATGAAGGTCAGGGTCATCCTTGAAGGCTTCACAAGGTGTTTTCATGAGAAGCCACTAAAGTGTAAACAGGGGATGACATGATGTGATATACTTTAAAAAATATCACTCTGGGTGCTGTGTAGGAATGCAGGGGACCAAAAGTGGGAAGTGGGGCTGGTAGGGAGTGCTAGCCATTGAGATGTGAGAAGTGATTGGGTCTGGGACTCTGGCGGTAGCACCGCAAGGAGGCAGTGATGGAAGGAAACAGAGGAATGAAGGATGACTCATGGGCTTCTGGCAAGGATATCTATGATTACTTCAATCAAACAGAGTTATGGGGAAATGAAGAGATTCTGACTGGTGGGGAGAAAATCAAGGGTTCTGTTGTCCCTGAAAAGTCAGCTGCTCGAAGCCAACAGAAAAGCCCCCCCCC